CTACAGGAGAGTCTCCCCGGGAACAGAACTTCCTCAAATACAACCTGGAAGGGCATCTTCTCACCTGGTATGGCAACCTGAGACACCAGCCATGATGTCAAGATATGGCGACCTTGGTGAGTACAGCTTACAGCACTTTTGGTCTCAATCTTTGTTGGAAAGACTGCTAATAAAAAAATCACAGAATTGGATGAGTAAAATAAATGAGTAGAATCTGTCACTTGAGGTAACATTTTAACAATTAAACTCAGAATACATCCATCAAATTAAAATCAAACAGCTGGTGTGTTATGCTGATGGTTATACCAGCTATACAGATATAGAACAGCACAATATGACACTGGTATCTTTCTTGTCCGCAGGACCAGGTGTGATGATGCAGAATCCCATCTATGACTACCCAAGACCATCTGTTGGGGGACTGAATGGGTCCTTGGTAAGTAGCATACTGTACTGTTATTGTTGTACTGTTTTGCATCTGAGCATTTATGGTTTAAGGATTTATGATGCATGTACATAAATTTATAATGATGCTAATATGACTTCAAGACTGTACATAACATGAGACATAATATTGTGCAACAGCAAATGAGAAATTGAGACAACTGTGTGGCTAATATAATGTTTTCTTACTTCAAACAGTATGAACCTGAAAGAACAAACCTCAGCTTCTTGGACCAGTTGCGGTCCACCCCAGTCAGAGCATACACACAACCTTCTCCCCATGGGGGTGTACAGCAGCCAATGGCACAGCCATCCCAGCAACCAACCACAGGGCAACAGCCAAGCCAGGAACCAATCACAGAGCACAGCCTGCCTGGAGTGATGTCATCACTAACCAATGACCAAAGAGATACCTTGTTGCAGCTAATTCGCGAGGAATATGGAAAATTAGAAGAAGAGAGAGCAACTAAAAAATAATGATACATGGTACTAGTAATTGGTTTTAAAATTATTGTCTGATATGTATCAATAGTACGTAAAAGTATTCAGAAGTACTACTTACAAAAGACAAAATGGCGTTGTCTTCCTGATATGTCAGCTCGTTTGGACTAGTAGCTATTATTCATAGTTTTAACAGATTTAAATTTGCACTATAAAAAAGGCTTAAGTAATGATAAAGATGTACATAAAAGTATTATATTTTTTTTGCCAAATGACAGAGTATCACAACAAGAAGCTGTTTAGTTAGACATATATAGCATTCAAAATTGCCATTACTACTAGGATGTGTATCAAAATTATTATCAATTAAGCATCATGCTTGGAAACGAGTATGATGCATGTAACGTTACTTGTTTGAGTGTGCTGGAAAAGATACATGTACAAATGTACATGAATTAGCATTTGTGTGTTTGTTGTGTATCAAATTAACTATGAAAATTAACTAGCTCTAAGCATTAACATAAGTGATAATGATGATTCTTTAATATAATACCTTGAAAAATGAAATTGAAATGTAACGTTACTAGTATTTTTAGTAGTTAAAGTTGCATGTAAAATAAAGCTACATTATTCTACAACTTGTGGTGTTTGTTACTTACCGATATTAGCAAGTCATACTAGAAATACTAAAAATCATCATAAAGTACAGAGGACTGAACATTGGAGCAGTAACAAGACACAGAAAATTTCAGCTGTCTTAATTAATAAGAACTAGCCGTGGACGACTCTGGTACACCTTTTTGCATGATAATGCCGGTGACAGAGTCGTGGAAAGCACCATAGGCCAAAACCACGCTCGTCCCCAGCGCCCGTGGAGAAGCCATAGGTTATAGATCGTGGCTTAGCCCAGGCTATGGAAAATAAACTTTCTTTAATGCAAATCTGTCGTTTTTGTTTTCTTTGCGCTTTCTAAAGGGTTATGATAACCTACTCTACTCTGGCGGTATTGTCGTGCGCGCTCGCTAGTACGTAACGTTACACGGCGGCCATCTGAATACATGTACACTGCATTCTTTCTACTATCGGGACCTAAAACAAGACGCAAGATTCCTATTTTGGGGTATAAAATGCTGTCACAATGGTAATATATACCAAATGAAACGGACCTTTACAAAGTACCTCATTTGGTGACGCTATGAGGGTGTACCGTTATCCCTCTACATTTGCCCAGAAGGGAGTTAGTCGCGGAAGGAACTTAGCCACGGAGGGAGTTTTGGCATTCTCCGCCCGCGCCACAAACTCTCGTCCCCAGGACAGTTCACTCTGCTACCCAGCATGCTTTGCGCAAAATGCGTTCTCGGCCCCAGGACACAAATACACGCTAATG